TCCGCGAGATCAAAGGCGAACGATAAGCCCTGTTTTATGTGGGATTCGCGATTCACGTATGCGACGCGCGTCTGACCATTCTTTTACGCGACTATTCGTGAATCGCGTGATTTACGTATGCGACACGCGTTTCAGTGTTTTTCTTTTTTTTTTTTTTTTTCTTCTTTGAACCGCGATTTATGTATAATATGTATATATATATATATATGTTCGAGAGATAAGATACTCATTCGATGCGATATTTAATTTAGTACTATCTTCGTTCAATTTTTCATTTGATGTATTGTTTCGCAAATGAACGATTCTCCTAATCGAAGAGAATTGAAAGGTACGCGAGATCGTGAGAGTGTTTCTGTACATGAATCACCGCGTGGAAGATAATTTATGGAAATGTGGGGATAATTATCGTGAGATAATTTCGTCGTCGATCAGGATTTTTCGAATTCTGTAACAATGAGATTATTCGACGATATAGATTTAACAGGAACAGATTTTTAAATCAGAAATTAAATATTGTATCGGATGAATATGTTCGTGGTAAATAGAAGAAGAAATGTGAAGGAGAAATTCAAAATTGTAATTATGATTTTTGTATCCTTCCATCATCGACTCGACTTTCTTCGAATCGAACTGACGAAACGAGAAACAAATGTAAAACAAATAATATAGTCGGACCCTGACTTATGTCCTCTCGGCTTGTGTCGTTTTTTTTTTTTTATTTACGCATGTCATTTTTATTAGCAATATCATTAGCATTCTATATTATATTCGTATTTACGTATTAAATTATACTATACACACGCAATAAACGCGTATATTTTTACATATTATATTATTATTATTATTATTATATGTTTGCAAAATATTATTTATAATTACTGGTTAAAATTTTATTTTTACCATCTATGAAAACAATAAGCAAGTTTATTTATATAAACGAAACGTATGAAAATATTATTGCTCGAATTTCGCTGCTTAACGTACCATGAATCAAAAAAGTGACGATTAATTTTCGATAAGTGTAAAAGCAGTTGTAAAAAGCAGTAGAAAAACGTAAATAAAACGAAAAAAAAATAATTAATACGCAGAGAATTTTCTTTGCATTTTTTGGAAAAGGAATAGAAAAACGACGCACCCGCGTTCGAACGTTAAATAAGAATTAAATATAAAGAAAAAAAATTATGCATCGAATAATGCAAATATGAATCGGCGATGTTCGTGAAAAAGGTTTAAATATACCTGTATGATCGAATCGTGCTAGAAAGGGGTTAAACCCGTAAAGGCAAATTACGAGAGGAGGATTTCACAAGAAATTTTCATGGAAGGTGAGAAGAACGGTTCCAGATATCGGCTCAATTTTGTATTTACGACGTCACGATCAAAGGATGCCTTGGCCCTTTCGTTCTTACGACTTGTTCCGCCCGATTATCATAGAAATCGTTCCAGTAAATCAAGCAGTAACCTTGGAACCAGTTGCCCTCGCTGTTTTTCGAGGTACGCGTGTGTAATAACGAAAGAAATAGTTTCGTTTGCTCGAAACAGGTTGTGAGAGGTGACGGAATCTGGGATTGGAGGGGCTTGAAAAGTTTTACCATTTTGACCGGGCAAATGCATGGGATACGAGTTTTATAATATACATAGGGTGTTAATATATTCGTATAGATATCCCTTTGGAGGGTTGATTGATAGAAAAAGCGTTGCTAAAGTTGGTATACAAGAAAATATTAAGGGTGATAAGTTGTAAATAGCGATAAAGATATAATGATTAATAATAAATTTAATATAATTTATTTATAATTTATTCAAGATATTCGAGAATATCCTTTGAAAAGTAGATTGTAAAAAAGTATATGCAAAAATTGATCTTATTTATAATTATTCATAAACAATTATATGTCTCGCTTCGTTTAATGCAAACTAAGATTGGTTATAATTTAATAAATAAACCCTTTGACTTTTGTATACCAACATTGCTTTTGACTTCTAAAATGTATCCATCGAGACGCGGAAATATTACATAATCGAAACATTAAGATTAATTGCGAAACAGTTTCTTACACACAAGAATTTTTATTTATAACAATGTCAATAGTATCCCTTCTTTGAATTAAAGATAGCCAAGAATAATGGTGCGAGCCAATATATCTATCATCGATAGAAAAGTATGCCGTCTTAATGTGTTTAAACTGCGTATTGATTTTCGAGTTACGGCAAATCGAAGAAAAGGCTTGAAAAGGCAGGTTTTTAGCCTCGAATCCGTTTAGAATTTATTATGCGCTTGACAGAAATTAATGACATTCATGACCTGCAAGAAAAGGTACGCCTTGAATTTCGAGCTTATTGAAACGACATACTCTCCTCCAACAAATTGGTCTCGTCCAAATGTCCTTCGTTCATATCGAAAAATTTCTTGTGCTGCTTACAATTGGACCGTTTTTATTTATTTATTTATTTTTTTTTCCTCGTAAGAAAAGAATCGCACAAAGTTGCCTCTTAATTGTGGCACACGTTTAACAATGAAATTCTTGAGATTTGTCACCGTCAGTTATTTATTTATTATTATTATTTTATATAATTATTATATAAAACAAATTGGTCTCGTCCAAATGTCCTTCGTTTCTATCGAAAAATTTCTTGTGCTGCTTACAATTGGACCGTTTTTATTTATTTATTTATTTTTTTTCCTCTTAAGAACAGAATCGCACAAAGTTGTCTCTTAATTGTGGCACACGTTAGGATACACGTTTAACAATGAAATTCTTGAGATTTGTCACCGTCAATTATTTATTTATTTATTATTATTATATATAATTATTATAATTAATTATTATTTTTTTTTATTTTTTTGTTTCGAGATTAAAATTCGTCCGCTCTCGAGAATTATTCCTCGTGTTAATGGTTATTGTAAAAGGATAGCCTACAATTCTCGATTCACTTGGGAAACAGAGCAACTCTTGATTATGTTATTTTCACTCGCATTCTGAGATATATATTCATTTTATGAATATTTTATTTTGAAATGGATTAGTTTACTTCGAATTTATCGACCACGGGAATGGAACGTTTAATTATATAATATTAATTAATTCTCTAATACTTCTTAATAATATATTTTAATTAATTTTCTCATTTAACAACGTTTTATTATTTATCCAATAATTTTAAATTATAAGTATACTTAAGCTTAGCTTAATACCCAATATATTTATTTAATGTTTCAATTATTCATTATTTCCATTTTGAATTAAATTATATATTTGACTTATCATATTAATTCACAACCATAAAAATATATTTTCCTTACTTCTTCACTTCTCGAAAATTATATTAGAAACTAGTCATCTTGGCGTTAATATTAATATCTGATATCTATTTTGTATAATGGAATGCTTCAAAAATCAATCTTACAATGGTTAGAAAATTGCTTACAAAATTACTTATAGAAATATAACAAATTATGAAAAGCATTCGAACACTTTCGCTACAACTATATCTTCATCAAAAATTCTCTGTATTGGTAGGCCTCGACGAGTTCTCTCGCTACAGCAACGACAATTTCCAACCGTGGTTTATCGGATGGCCGTATATTTTAATAATCAGCGACGTCAGCCGCGATTATTCACGCTTACCGGCGTTTACATAATCGAGCGACTAAGTGTTCGCCGAGATTGCCCGCTTGACGCACCACGATGATTTATCGCCAGTTAATGACTTTCGATTTCGTATTAATTATAGCAATGTATCTCTTTCTCTTTCTCTCTCTATCTCTCTCTCTCTCTCTCTCTCTCTCTCTCTCTCTTTCTCTCGCTTTCCTCTGATTTCTGCTAATAGAAGCAACCGTTCGTAGGTTCACATTGCAAAGTTGTTATTACGTTCAACACCAGTTTCGTTGCGTAATCGGCCAATGGACACTCGATAAAACAGTTAAAGTCCGATTAAAACAAGAAATGTCGCGATTTTCGATCAATCTGCTAATGTGATTTATATATATATAGTTACGCTTATAAATATGCAGAATATTATTCTCAGTAACTTTCATAAATAATATATTTAATGTGTGTAAGTGTATTACAGTCAGTGTATAATTACAACGAAACATTTTTTTTTCCTCTGAAAAATCAATATTTCATGTTTATAGAGTTCAATTTTTATAATTATCACATTGTTATAATGTAATTAATGTATAAGAATGTTCATTTGATATAATAATTATTTTTTGTAACTATTGTATGCTCGTAGTTGATATATATATATATATACATTCCATATACAACCATGGAAAGTTTTTACGAGATAGAATTAAAAAAAAAAAAAAAAAAAAAAAGTTGCACTTCATCCATGTTTTATACAAGTAGATAAATGATGTTTGGGAAATTACGAGTGTTTTTCATTTGTTTAACAAAGTGAAAAGCTATCAATTCATGTGTATCCATGAAAGTACCATTCAACAGTTTGTTTGGACAAATCAATTTCCACTTCACACCGTTAGTTGGCGAAGTTCGCGCACTTCAGAGTCCTGCAGAGTTGAAGTCACCGAGTAACTTCATTCCTTCTTAATTGCATGAACCAATTATTTATTCGAGGAGTTGAAATATAATTTCGAAATCTCCGACGCATTATTTACTTTTTCTATAGAAAATTTCACAGAGAAATTATCAAAAACCTTATCAATTCCATTTCCAAGTTTTTATTATACAATCAGCAATATCCTTTTCATATTTTTTTCACACAGAGAAAAAAAGATAATTCTTCATTTCTCTTTCATTTCTTTTTTCAATACCAATATATTATTTATTCCCAATATATCACACTATATATACATATTAAATTTAACTTCTATTTTATGAGTAAAGTTAATACATGAAATATTTGGATCCATTCCATTCGAATAATGGGGACTCTATTATAATATATATCAGAAATGTTTTAATTGCAAATTATTATATATATAATATATAATATATATATATATATTATAAAATGTTTCTTTTCCGTTGCAGCAAGAAGGAGGCCCAAGCGGACCAACGGGGATCCAGCAATGCGCCGGTTGCGGCGGTCAAATAGTAGAAAGATGGTTGTTGCTCGCAATGGATCGGTATTGGCACAACGGTTGCCTCAAGTGCTCGTACTGTGGCGCGGCACTGGCGGAAATCGGCCACTCGTGCTACACCAGGAGCGGCATGATCCTCTGCAAAAGCGACTACAGAAGGTAAGGATGCATTCATGTTTCTCTTCAAACTAGCCCGGCCTTGCATTCAATGGATCTAATGGCACGTAGATATCTTTGGGAAATTACGAAACGAACTTATGATATAGGATAGGGAAATTCGATTTTTCAAGTGGTTTTCAACGCGAATGATATGGAAAAAGAAAATTGAAAAGTATAAAATGAATAACTTGTAATTAATGATTGTTGAGGAGAAAATGTCTGTAACGCTGGCTGCTTAATTCTTTAACACTGTGATAACCGGTTAGTTTCAAGCATAATTTTCACGTTAAGTATTAATAAAATATGTTTCTGTTATGTTTGTGAAGAAATATAATGATTCGCTTATTTGAAAAATGAAAAAAAGTACAAGTAATGAGTAGTTGAAGAAATGCATAAATAAATAAATAAGTAAAACATATTGGCTATTAGTTAATAGCTACGTGGCGCTAGTATCGCGTCACCGGTCATCATAGCGTTAATACTCATGCCAATAATATGCATTTTCCTTATTGATTTTTATGGATTCAAAAACTTTAATATCTTTAATATCGTATCCATTCTTATTGTTTTATGAATAAAATTGAACATTTTAACTTTTAAATGAAAATAAAAAATGTAATCCGATTAATTAGATTTATTGACAAGAAAAAAATCTCAAAGTATAATTCTTTCAATCAATTTTTATATAGTGATAAATTTTAAAAAATTGAAACTATTTTTACTGAATTTTATTAACAAACAATCGATCCATGAGATATTTAATAACCAACGTTATCTTCTTATCGTTGTATTTCCTAACATTTCTACTAAATATAGACGTCGTTTATTTGAAACAGTGTAAAATATTAAATAACAAGCCTATACTTTTTATTACATCTAGATATTCTTTTATATCTATAACTATAATCCCTTCATAAATATAATAACTCGATATTAAATATATTCACGAATTATTAATTTATCATCAAAAATTCATTAAACAAAGATCACAAATATACTTCGAGATCTCTTCTTGTATGTCCAATCAATCGAATTACATTTTATCCAAATTGGATTAAGCATATTCATTTCGATAATTCAAACAACGACAAGTTGAATTTTGAAACTTCAAATTCCCTTACCCACACTATACCTTACAATTTATACATTCGATTTCGACTACAAATTACATTTCACCGTTTCTATTATCAATTGCTCGAAACTGCTGGCATTACTTAGGGGGATGACCCGATTGCTCGTCTGAAACGTCCCAGCTCGCAGCCGTTGATTGATCGCGAAACAGGATTACACGGCACGAACGTCGCGTTCCGCGCTTCATTAAATCGCAGACACGCAATTGCCCGACCGATTAATTCCGTGGCCGTGCTCGTATCGGCCTGCTCGATTATTATAACGACGCTCGTCTGACGATTCCGACTCGGCGTCGGAAGAAGTCGTGGAGAGAGATGTTGAAAAAGTTGTTCAATGAGAGAGGGGAGAAAAAAAAAAAAAAAAAGAAAAAAAAAAGAGGAAAGAGAAACAGGGAACTGTCGTGATTACGCGATCGGTTATATAAACGGGGCACGGATTCTAGAAATTAAGGATAATAGATACGCAACATTTTCACGGTGATAAACGGTTGGCTACGGGTGAATTAATCGCGCCACTTCCGGCGCATCGGCGATTACCGACCGAGCAGACTCGTTGGCGCCAAGTATCGTGCAATCAACATTCCGCTCGTGCAAAATAGCTGCAATCTAGGAAGCTGTCACTTCACGGTGACACTTAGCCGCTGATTATATACGCCTCTTCCTTCGTCCCGCTCTTCAAACACTGTTTGCAATAACGCGCGCGTGCGGAATCACGAGTTTCTTTCATGATCGTTAGATATATATATATATATTGTCATCGATTTTCCACTGATGCTCGATATGAATTTGTATTTTTACGCAATTATATTGGGACAAAAGGAGGAAAATAAGGTTGGAAATTGTTTGATTATTGTGAAAAAAAAAAAAAATATCTCTTCAAAAATATTATTTATTTCATATATGATTTTACAAAAATTTGTAAAATCTAAAGAAGAACGAGAGGAATAATATGAATGAGGAATAATGAATAATATGAAAATGAAATGAGAAGATTTTTTTTTTTGATTTGTGATATAGAAGTTCTAATAGTGGTAGTTTCCAACTTGTGGATCGTAAAGTGTTTTTTTAAGGGGTCGCTGCTGTCGTTCTTAGTTAATAACTTTCAGTTACTCGTTTCTTTTAATGTAATTACGGTACAATATAATTACAGTGCCACTCATTTCTCTGGGAAAAAACCGTGTTAATTTCCTTAATGTTCTTTACTCTATATGGAGGTTGCCCCGAGTTATTTGAATATTACAAAAGAGAATTGAAAAAGGTTTCGGGGGGGGGGGGGAAAAGAAGAAGAAGAAAACTGTCCTAATGAATCTTTTATACACTTTGCCGCTTTAAGAATATCGAAAGGCGTTAGAAACTTTCCATCGACTTTCTATTTTTTGAAAATTATAAGATAACTTTTATCGATACCAGTGTTTACTTTCTCAACTTTTATCGATACCAGTGTTTAGCAACCGAGCGTTGAACGATTCTCAAAGATCTGAAATAACCTCGTCAATGCGACACCGGATCGATCCGATTTTCGTTTCCTGAATGATTTAGAGAGAGAGAGAAAAAAGAAAACCTCGTCGTGTTGAAAACGGTTAATCGGCGGAGACCGTTCCAAATTTAGAAGATTCGAGGTCAAAGCGCAATTTAATGAGAAACAGACGCAGAAGTTAGTTGGCATCACCTTAAAATAGATCGGCACAATCTGGCCAGGGCAGCCGGTGTGTACGAAATCCAATGAGTGTCCGTCCATATTTTTTCTTCTTCATCGACCTGTTAACTCACCGCGAGACGATGCTTCTTTTCATCTCTGATTAAACCTGGAAAATATACGATCCGGTCTTCGAACGAGAAACAGCACCGTAAACTGAAATTTCCTTTTTTTCCTTTCTTTCTTTCTTCCTTCCTTCCTTTCTTTCTCTCTCTCTCTCTCTCTCTCTCGTTAACGATCCCTGATATAATTCGATAAATTTACGGTTGATTCTCATTAAAAAAGGATGAACATGTATAAATTAATATTTCGAAAGTTGAAATATTATTTTTATCCTCTTTTCTTTCTTCTCCTTCTCCTCTTCTTTTTTCTCCCCCTTTTTTTTTTTTTTTTTTATTGAAAGTTTCGTCATCACTCGAGAATTGATAAATTGGATAAACATGAAAGAAAGTGACACGTAGTCGAAACGAAATTGGCCGGCGTTCCGGGGATGGAACGAATTAATTAAACGGTCGACAATGAAGAAAAATATTCAGCCCCGTGGCAGTTCGAAGTAAAACGGGTCGGCTGGTCGTTATGAAATTTTATACTTCGTTTAATTAATTCCTTTATTACGATCTTCGACGGGGACTGGTTTCGGGATAGGGAAGGCTTTAAGGAACGTTCGAAATTTTCTCTCGTCGAGAGATCGGGGAAAAATATCGAGAAGTCATCGAAAAGTTACTATAATACTTATTATATCTAGAATTTGCATTAAATCATTTATAATTCTCAATTAAATATGCAACACAACGAGTAGTGTATTTCCACTTATTCTTTTCCTCAAATTATAAATGCAAACCGGTATTAAAATCGACTGATTTGCAAAAGTAATGAATTCGAGTGGAATAATCAATTTACCGATCGTGGAATATTAAAAATGTTTTTAAGCTTTACTTTGCAAAATAAAATCTTTTCCTTGGACAAAGAAATTTTTCTCTGTACACACTCTTTTTGAAGATTAAAAGATTCATATATATACACACCGATCGATTGCGAATCCCTATAAATAAATTAATTTCATAATCATAATTTAAAAAAAGAAATTGATAAGATTCATTCAAGGATACTTTAATTCGATAATTTTAAATAAAATAATAGTAATAACTTTATTTTTAAAAGAATATTGATAGAAATATATAATAGAAAAAAGAAAATATCCTAACGCGAATTTAAGAATTTGTAAACAATCAAAGACGAGGAACGTATCGAGTTCCAACTTCGTACTCTCGGATAGGATAGAAAATTTCATTTTCTCCGGAATTGCAGCGGTTATAAGATTCCTCGGGAACATTTGTATTCGTGGTCATGGTAGCCCTCCTCTTCCTCCTCCTCCTCCTCCTCCTCCTCCTCCTCGTCGATACGATCGCGACAGACTCGTCCGCAACGGCACACACACGCCCTAATCTGTTAGCACAGTCCAACGATTTAGTCTAGCGTAGTATCAATATTTGATTACGAGGCGTCTCCGTCCCGCATGCCGGAATTGGAGACGGATTCGTCCATCTAAATGTCCAGTGGCGCGCTCCTTCGTATTTCCGGAAGTCGGTTGTCGTCGTGGAAATCGATCCTGGCTGGGATCACAATGCGGGGAAAAACGTCCCGTTAATTACGATCGTGCGGATCTCCTTTGCTTCCAAGGAAATCCTGTACATATACTTGCAAGATAGAGGATACTTTTTTACTTTTGAAAGGAGGGGAATAGATTAAAAAATAAATTTGTTTGAGACGAAAATGTCTGATTTGTAGAAAATTTGATTCGAGAGATAAATTATTTTTTGAAATAATGGTAATAATATACGAGGCAAACGCAGATTTCGTTTTAAATGAAGAGATGCGAGAAAGAATACGTTTGAATGAGAAAAAAAAAGTGGATTTTGGAAAATTGTAGGTACAAAAAATATCTATAAATTTATTTTTTTAGTAATGAAATAATGACTATCCTAGATTAAATAAAATGGTAAAATATTAAACATTCATTTTTCGAATATATTATTATTCAAATATTATAATTAAAGATAAATACAGCAAATGAGGGATAAAATAAAAATTCTATTTGAATTTATTTCGATTTTTATCGTTCAATCCTACTACATCGTATCTATATTCTTGGAAATATTTTTGCGTATTTTTGA